AATAGTCTGTGGAGTAAATAGGGAGAAAAGAATCAGATTATTCTAACCAGGGGCACAGGTGGAGGATATAACTGACAGAGTAGGAGATATAATAAAGGGGGCTAGCAAAGATGCAGTTTTTGTTGTGCATGTAGGGGCTAATGATGTAGGGAAAGGTAGGTCAGAGGAACTAATTAATAAGTACAAGGGGTTGATAAAGACATTTAAAGAAAAACACCATTACTTAATTTTGTCAGGGATACTGCCCAGAATTAACTGTGGGATGAAGTTATAAGTAGGTCACTAGGGCTAAATTCTAGGCTTAGGCTAGTATGTAAGGATGAGCAGATTGGCTGATTGGACTTGTGGGATCAGTTGTGGAAGAATGGAGCTATTTGAAATGAATGGTTTACATTTAAATATGGTAGGGGATGGCCTGTTTGCTAAGGCTATTAACTCTGCTGTAAGGGAAGTTTTAAACTAGGACTACACAGTGGTGATGGCCAGGAAAAACTAAAAGCAAAAAGAATAAGAGGCAGAGGAAAATTTAGCATAGGAAATGAGTATAGAAGTAGTTATAAGGATAGGCTTAACTGTTACTATTGTAATGCTAGAAGTAAAAGAAATAAAACAGATGACTTCAGAGCAGTGGTTGGAATGGAAGATTTTGACATAATGGGAATAACTGAAACATGGTTAAACAGATTATCTTGATGGCAGAAATTTCTTTGAAATACAGGGTTACAGGCTATTTAATAGGGATAGAGTATTAAAGGAGTTGGTGGAATTATATGTAAAATGTGAGTTACATCCTATTGAAGTTGAGGATATCAAAGATAATAGTAAGGAGAATGAATCCATTTGGGTTTCTATTAGTGGATATAAAGGGAAAAGGCTTTTAGTGAGAATTTGTTACAGACCACCAAATGCTATTGATGAAATTATTGAAAAACTTAACAATGAGATTAAGATTTCAGCTGCTAATGAAGTCAGGCACATGGATTGGGAAATTCTAGTCAAACCATAAGGGAGAAAAGTTTTTGGAAACTGTTCAGGATGGCTTTCTTCACCAATTAGTCAAGGAACCTACTATAAACAATGCTATTTGAGATTAATTGTTAACTGCAAATAGAGAAATGATTGAGAGGCTGGAAATTGGGGAATATCTGGGTGCAAGTGATTATGCTCTATTAGGTTTGATGTTTTGCTGCATATGGAGATAAGTAATAATGATGTTTTGGTTACAAATTTCAAAAAAGCAAATTTTGAAGGGATGTGGCAAGAATTATCTGTTTTGAATTGGGCAGCCTAGTTATTTGGAGACACTGATCAGATGTGGAAAATTTTTAAAGATAAATTTTTAAATATTCAAGGTAAAGATTCCTTATAGAAAGAAAAGGGTAACTGCAAGTATAAAAACAGGTTGGCTCACAAAGAGTTTAAGAGATAAAATTAAAGAAAAGCATCATAAATTTATGAAATTTAAGTTGACTGTATTACAGGAAATTTAGAAGATTACAGAAAATCAAGTTTGTGAAATAGGAAATTAGGACATACAAAGAAAAGAATTGAGTAAAGGTTGGTTGAAAAGGTAAAAATTAACAGTAAGGATTTCTTTAAATACAGTAAGGGCAAACAAAATGTTAGGATGGGGGTAGGACCCTTGTGGGATGATAAAAGAAGGCTAGAATTTGATGATTATGTGATGGCTGAGTAATCAAATTTTGCTTTTACTTTGGTTTTTAATAAAGATTTAAGCAGCATTCCACATCTTGAACAGTTGATAAATAGAAACAAGATCAAACAAGATGACTGCATTAATTCTGAGTTAGTTAAGAAAAAATTGGGAAGTTTAAAAAACAATAAGGCTCCTGGACCAGATAATAGGTGCTGCTATAGCATGCGATCTATACAGATACCATCATCATCACCACTATTTTAATGATTCACTAAAACATAATTTCTTGGTAAATAATTTATATCTACCCACGATTTTGTTCAGCAAATAATAATTTAACAAACTGTGTTTTCCAAAACAGTACCTTAAATTTAGGTTATAATTGTTCTAATTTTGATTGTTGGAATTTATTTCATTCCGATTATATTTGGCCTAAAAACGTTATGTAATGATATTTTGTACTTTATTAGTTTAAAAGCATTATTTATAATAAATGGTGCCAATTGCAGATAAACAAAAGTTAAAATGGTGATGATGATAGTATCTGTGTAGACCACACATGATAGTGTAAATATCCTTGTAGAATGCACACTATAGTAGCACCAGATAATATTTCCTCAAGGGTTTTGAAGGCAGTTAAAGATTGGATATGTGAGCCACTTATGACTATTTTTGTCAGTCCTTGAATAATGGGCATGTACCAGAGGATTGGAAGTTAACTGATATAACTCCTTTTTTAAAGAGAGGTGATAAAAATTGTCCCAGTAATTATAGACCAATTAGTCTTACATCAATTATGGGAAAGTTTTGGAAAGTTTTTAAAAGATGCTTTCCAAAGTCATTGAACAAAATTTAGAATTTTATTGGATAGTCAACATGGTTTCACAATGGAAAATCTTTTGACATTCTTTGAAAAGGTTACTGCTTATGTAGATGAGGGTAAGGGTGTAGATTTGGTGTATCTGGATTTTCAGAACGCAACTGAGAAGGTGCCACATAAAAGGTTTGTAAAAATAATTATTTCTGTAGGTGTGGGGGATTAGTTGACAAATTGGATAGAAGAGTGGCTGGATGGAAGAAAGCAGAGGGTTGTTACAAATGCAGTTAGGTTAAACTGGATTAATGTAACAAGTGGGGTACCTCAGGGCTCAGGATTAAGACTTTTGCTCTTTTCGATTTACATCAATGATATAGATGAAGGAATTGTCAATAAATTACTTAAGTTTGCAGATGATATTAAGATCTTGGGTGTTGCTAGCTGTGAAGAGGATGCTACTGATTTACAAAAGGATTTAGATCATTTAGTAAGTTGGGCAAATAAATGGCAGATGGGTTTTCATTATAATAAATGCAAGATAATACTTGTGGGTTATCAAATTCAAATTTGGATATGAATAACCTTAACAGTGTTATGAAGGTCACATGTTGTCCCAAAACATTATGTTACGTTATACAGCCTACTTCAATGTACATCTTATGAAAATAAACAGAAAGAAATATCAAACCTACCTCACTTTGAACATCAGAGAAAGTTCCATGAAGAGGGCTTTCTGTATTCCGTTCATCTGAGAGATTATTTGCATCATACGGAGGAACAGCACTATGGGCATCTTGTGGTTCAGGGTGGGTAAGCCTGCGTAGCTGAGGGTTGTGATAAGAAAGAATCGAGTCAGTGTGATTTCTTTTGCATTTTGTATTATCGGTATCAACTATATGATTAACATATTTTGGCTGAGGTGACTCCAACCTCTGGCTTGTTTTCTCTCCATTAAAATTTTCTTTATTCAGAGGTAATTCAACTTGATCCTTTGCTTCAACATGTCTCTTAAAAGTTTCACAGGTACTATCCAGTTCATCACTTTGGGCCAATGGCAACTGTTCATCTGAGCCTATTCCTGAAATACCTTCCAAATCAAATGCCTGCACTACTTGAATTTCTCTTTTGATATGTTTCTCCTGTGTTGCACCATTAATAACTATGTCTTCACTTTGAGATGATTTCAGTTGTTGCTCTGTAAATATTCCCGAAATATCTTGCAGGTTGACTAATGGCACTTGTTGAACTTCTGCTTCAATATGTTTTCCCTGTATTATACCATAACTAGCAAGCTCTTCACTTTGAGACAATGTCAACTGTTGGTTTGTCACCATGCCTGAAGTAGCTTCTAGGATAAGTGTCTGTACTTCTGGAACTTTTGCTTCAACAGGTTGTTCTTGATTTATAACATTAATAACCAGCTCTCCACTTTGGACTAGTGTCATTTGCTGCTTTGTATCCTTTTCTAAAGAACTTCCTAGGTGAACTGTTTGCCCTTCCTTAACTTTTGATTCAATATTTTTTGGCTGTGTTACCTGATTACTTGCTACCTCCTTTTCCAATGATTTTAGCTGCTGGTTTTTATCTGCTCTTGAATTATTGTCCATGGCACTTATATATTCCTCTTGAACTTCTACTAAAATATATTTTTCCTGTGTTGCACATTTACTAGCCAGCTCTTCATCTTGGAATGATGTCAGCTGTTGGCTTGTGTCCATTTCTGAGGAATTTTCCAGACTGACTCTCTGTAACTCTTGAGCTTCTGCATCAATGTGTTTTTCTTGTATTTCACCATAACTAACCAACTCTTCATTTTGGAGGGATGTCAGCTGTTGACATGTATCCTCTTCTGAAGAAATTTCCAGATTGACTCTCTGTAATTCTTGAACTTCTGCTTCAATGTGTTTTCCTTGTGTTACACCATAACAAACCAGCTCTTCATTTTGAAGTGATGTCAACTGTTGGCTTGTGTCCATTTCTGAAGAATCTTCCAGATTGACTCTCTGTAATTCTTGAACTTCTGCTTCAATGTGTTTTCCTTGTGTTACACCATAACAAACCAGCCCTTCATTTTGAAGTGGTGTCAACTGTTGGCTTGTGTCTATTTCTGAAGAACCTTCCAGACTGACTCTCTGTAATTCTTGAACTTCTGCTTCAATGTGTTTTCCTTGTGTTACACCATAACAAACCAGCTCTTCATTTTGAAGCGATGCCAACTGTTGGCTTGTGTCCATTTCTGAAGAATCTTCCAGATTGACTCTCTGTAATTCTTGAACTTCTGCTTCAATGTGTTTTTCTTGTGGTACACTATAACTAACCAGCTCTTCGTCTTGGAGTGATGTCAGCTGTTGGCTTGTGTCCATTTCTGAAGAACCTTCCAGATTGACTCTCTGAAACTCTTGAAGTTCTGCTTCCATGTGTTGTTCTTGTGTTTCACCATTATTGACAAGCTCTTCATTTTGAAGCGATGTCAGCTGTTGGCTTGTGTCCATTTCGGAAGAATCTTCCAGACTGACCCTCTGTAATTCTTGAACTTCTGCTTCAATGTGTTTTTCTTGTGGTACACTATAACTAACCAGCTCTTCATCTTGGAGTGATGACAGCTGTTGGCTTGTGTCCATTTCTGAAGAACCTT